TTTTAGTTGAAAAGGATTGGAGCATGAAATTAGGCTAAAAATATTGTCACCAATTAAAATATCAAACTATTTTTTTCTTAATCGATGGTAGGGGCCAATATAATAAACCTTTCAAAGAAACTAAAGTGGCCCCTCAAAGTTTCCTTTAATGCAAACCAGCCCCATACATACTTTTTCTTGGCCCACTATATTTTCTTGTTAAGTTTTTGGTAATGGAAAATTCTCTAGGAAAATTTCGTAAATTTATATGATATAATTTGAATTTTGATAATTAAATAAATAAATTAATCGTGATTTTTTTCGTTTTCCCTTGAAATATTTGTGACTTAGTTTTTAAATATGTATATTATTATTTTAGAAAAACTTAAAGATCATATTTTTTTATGCACGATCAAAATAAAGAAGTTTGACTCTCGAAATTTGAGCTATATCATATAAATTGAGACGAAGAGAGTCTGTTTTCTAAAGGAATAAATAATGAAAAAAGGGTAAAGGATCAAATATGCCCTAAACTATTCGAAAAGGTCTAGATATACCCTCCGTTTAAAGTTTGGCTCACTCATGCCCTCGCCGTCCAACTTTTCGTCTAGATATCTCCTTATGGGCGTTAGTTGGCTTGCTGGACATATTCAACTCATTTTCCATTTCTTTAAATGTCACATGGAATTGCCATGTCATTTTGACTTTACCACATGACATTTATATGAAAATTGAAAGGGATCAATTATGCCCCTAAAAAATTCGAACCCATAAACACCTAATCCGATCCATAAATCAACCCACCTTTTAAATAAACTACCCGACCCGTTTTCAACAATTTTATTTAATTTTTTATTTTTTTTGATAAATCTCGAAAATGAGTAATTGATTAATAAAAATAGGAAAAATATGAAAAAAATATAAAATTAACGCCAAAAATTCACAAATAAATATTGTAACCTTAAATTCAACAATTTCAACAATTTTTTTATTTTTTTTTGATAAATCTCAAAAATGAGTAATTGATTAATAAAAAATAAAAAGAAGAAGATATTTGACCCTTTACCCATGAAAAAAAGAAGAAGATAATTCTATCTTTCTAGGAAACTTCCTAGTGACTTGTCAAAAAAGTTTGAATTGAAAATGCAATATTTTTTTTATTGTGTGGGGTTACGGACTAGATGGTGACATATTCATGGAATATTATGCAAATTATTAGTAGAATTTGTTACGAAATTTATTTTTGTCAATTTCACTCAAAAATACATAAACTTCACTCATATTATATAATTTTAACATTTTTATATGAAGTTTGTTGTTTCCAATGAACTTCAAACACAACATATCTAGAGTGGATCTACCTATAAAAAATAATAATTTTAAAATAGATATAAATTAAATAATAATATCAAAACATATTATCTAGTGAAATTTCAACATATAAGTAAGATTTTAAAAATAGATTATTTAATGAATTAACAAATTAATTTACACCACTCAACACATTGAAATAAAAATTGTACATGAAAAAATTGATCAAACTGACTTTGATTCACGTATTGAGATATTTGATTGGAAAATCACAGTGACCAATTGAAAAAGACAACCTTATCTCTATATTTTCTTTTAATTGAAAAAATATATTTGAAAAAATCCTATTTTATTTTTTAAATGACCAAAAGCGTTATAAATCATCTTGTCACCATCCTGGAATTTTCTCAAGTAAATCAAACAAACAAATAATTAATAAACTATAGTCTAAGTCAATGAGTCAAATTAATATGCTACATTTTAATAGAAATTTTATGCCTCATATTCATTTGTGAACAATTTAAAGTCAAACTCAATTTGTATTGTGGCTTACATTGGTCTTCTTCAAACATAAATTAATGTTGGAGAAAAAAAATAATTAATATATATAGGACTTTTTTTATATATTTCTTATTTTCTATTGTTAGTAATTTAATATTCATGATTGCACAGGGCAATTGAGTTAATTGTTCAAATGTTTTACATAAAAGCAAATAATTTTGATTGATAATTTCATAATTTTTCCGGCATCCAAACTCTTGATTTGATATTATATTTTAAAATAAAATTAAATCAGGGTACGTAGAAAAAGAAAAAATTAGATGAAAAAGTAAAATTCTCATCAACAAAATAAAAATTCAGATAACCAACCAACAAATCAAACTATTAAGATCTCTTGATTTCACGTCATATAAGTCCATAATACAAATAAACTCAATTTTAATATATTGACGTAATTGTAACTTTTCTTTTCTTTATTTGGCCTTTAATAGTTAAGCGTGCAAAATTAATAAATTGTTTTCTAAAACTTCTTTATATCCAATTAGAATCTCTTTTACCTTTTCTTTCTTTTTTTTTGCATTGGGATCGGTGAAACTCTATTATAATGATTTTTTCATACAACAATTATTACATGAATCTTTCTAAAATGATTCAATGAGAACATAAAACACAAAAATCTTCATCACCATATTCTGTTTCTATTTAAATAGTCATTATGTCTCAAAACTTAAAGATTTCATATCTGAATTTATGATTAAAATTTTATTATTCGATGCTCAAAATTTGAATAATATCATATAAATGAAACAAAGGAAATAATATAAATATTTCATATTTTTCTATATTACATATTTTCTATGGTATTTTACATTTTTTATATACATCGAACGCCCCATTATGTAACTCTCCTTCTTTCGTCCGTCCACGAAGCTATAGGAGAGAAAGGGCCAGCATTTTTTTTTGTATATTAGTGGTATATCTTTATCTATTATTATAGATCACTTTCAAAAGGAAAAAAAAGGAAAGGATTTATAAAAGAGGAAAAAAATGGTTTTTGATTTTTTTTTAGAAAAGGAAAAAATATAATTGCTCAAGGTATCCTTTTGTTTCAAGAAAAGCATAAAGTGTTAAAAGAAATGTCCCAAGAAAAATATAAAGCTCACTTTTAAATTTTTATTCCCCCAAGCTTTAAAGCATAAAAAGTCGAGTTGAGTCGAAATTTAAATTTTACGAGTTCAACTTTATCATATAATTTATTTTGAAAAGTAATGTAATGTAAGTTCAAATAAAGCTTTTATATATATAATTTTTTTTATATCATTAAATAATTGTAATTGTACCTTTAAAAGTTTAAGCGTGCAAAATTAAAATAATTGCCCTCTAAAACATCTTTATATCCAATTAGATTCTCTTTTGCTTTTTCTTTAAACTTTTATTTGCTTAGGGATCGGTGAGACTTTATATTATACATAAAATAATGATGATAAGTTCTAATGGAATAATGATTACATGATTCAATGAGAACACAAAACACAAATTTTCAATTTCTCATAATACGTCGCAAAATACTTGTCACGTTATCTTCGAGAATAATTACCCCATTAAAGTAAGACTTTTTTTTTAAAAAGACACTTATACTTTGTAGGGGTCCTATTACCCCTTGTTCTTATTTAAAATGAATTTATTGTTTCATTACGTGCCTACGTGACATGTAGAGTGTAGTTCAGCTGAACCAAAAAGTAAATGAATATATGAATATTTATTTAAGCATTTATTTAATTAGTATTTTTTTCTTTTCTTTTATTTATTTTATTGTACTTTCTCAATTCTTTATTTTTGTTATCTTCTTCCCCAAATTTCAAAAGAATCAACTACCTCTTATCTATTTTCTTCAACTTAGAAGACCCATTTACTTCAGTCAATTTTTTCTTGCTTCTTTCTTCTCTTTGTTCCTTTTTCTTCTTTTGCCCTTATTTTTTTCCAAAATAATAATAATTGTAAACCTCCTTGATAATATTGTTCCATTTAAAAAAATAAAAAATAAAAATTGTTATGTAGTTCTTTAGTATGTAAATAAAGAAATTTCTTCGATTTCAGAGTATTATAGAATTCCATTACCTTCATCGTAATGGAGCTGCATAATTGTTGTAATTTTGAAAAGGAGATGGTAGATTGAAGGTGATTATTAATTTTCAATATATAATTTGTTGGTAATTTTATTATTGATTTAACAATAATTTGATGATATTAATAGTGGAGATGATATTATTATAGTGACGTGATACAGACTACTCCGAAGGATTGACGAAGATTGCGACTACGTAAATTGGTGATGGCAGTTAGAAGGATTGAAGAAGAGCATAGGAGGGTAAAAGAAAAGAAAATGAAGAAAGAAGAAGAAAGAGAAAAAGAAAAGAAAAAGAAGATGAAGTTAATAAAATAAGAAAAAATAAAAATGAAAAATAAAGATTAAAAATCAAATTAATACGTGTCAGATAATAATTGGTGTGTGATTGCACTTTTTTTCTTGCAATTGAGGATAACTGAAAAATGGGGTATTTACAACACTTTAAAAATGTTTAAAGGGGTATTAGGACCCCTGCAAAGTTGAAGTGTCTTTTTAAAAAACATGTCTTACTTTAATGGGGTAATTATGCATTTTCTCTTAAAATAAATTACATAAATTCAATATTAGTTAAAGTTCACATAATTTAGCTCTCGAGAAGTAAAGTAGAGAAAGAAAAATCTCAACCTCACCACCAAAGGAAACTCAGACAACTACTTGAATGTTGGTTTAAAAGAATGCATGCAACATGATGATGAAAAATCACTTCATTTCTGGGACAGACAACTTGATGCATAAAACATTTCACGTTCATATAGAATTCAGAGAAGGACCGCTTCCTAATATTTTCATTCTTGCATGGTACTAGAACCGGTATCCTTCAACCTTCTACACTCAATAGGTGGGTGCTTACCCCTATCACGGGGATCAGTCAAGAGAAGGTAGAGTGTTTGAAATCTTGCCCCTATCACGGGTTAGAAAAAATGTTTCAAAAAGACCTTTGATTCAGGTAACACACAAAGAAATATAACAAGTACTAGAGAAAGCATCGCATCGCATCGCAAATATGAAAATTTCAATAAGTGAACTTTGCATTACTGCATCAGTAATGTCAATTTGATATCAACTGGAAAAAAATGTGGCATGACAAAATGCAGAAAAATCTATTCGAAATACTCGAATAACGTTACATGGTTTCTTCAGGCATCTTCGTAAAATAACACCTGGACAAAAATACCCCTACTTAAAACACGAAACAACTCGAATCGAACATTTACCGTGCTGGATTTCAAAACTTTTATAAGTGGAACTCTAGCACAATGTGGCGTATGCTGTTGTAATTGTCCCAACTTCGACCATATAGACTAGCTATCAAGATGCCAAGCTCTAGAAAACAGGCGTACAACTTCGCATGTGTTTTCTTGGTTTCCCACCTAGTGTTCAGTACTTGCATTGGAGCTTGACTTGATCAAGATTCGCCTAGAAAAATGGAGATAAGGTGCTCCTTCACCAAAAAAAATCATCAACTTGCGCGTTGAATGCTCGTTGGTCACACTAGCGAAAAAATTCAATATGACCAGCAATATCCCTGCACAACATCTTTGACTCACCTGCCAACTTCAAGCTTCTTGAAATGACAAGTCCTGTTTTTTTGTGTGTTGATGTTGGTTTATAGGCTGTGGCACCCTCTTCATTTCCCATTATAAGAGCTTCTCTAGCAGGAACCACATTTTCCCACCAAAATTCCCATAAAATTCCATGCATTAACTCCCAGTAACTCCGGTCTCGGTAGACACGGAATATTGCACTCCCGTTTGGTGTCCAACAATACACATCAACCCAATCTCTGTCCATGATTTCCATTTGCCCTTGCACTTGAGGCATGTAGTAGAATGGCATAGTTGCCCACGGGAGACCCTTTTCTGGTTTTCCTTTGTTGTATGGACATTTCACTTCCAGGATCCCACCTCCAGGCAAGCTTCCAAGAAGACCATCCGGGGAGGCACCAATCCAATCCAATCGCTCATCCGAATGGACTGCGAACCCGAGTGAGCTCACATCACGACCAGTGATGCTTTTATAGCGTTCTATGGCTACTGCTTCCATGAGAACACCCCAATCCATGGCACTCCTGCTCGGAGATGGTAGTAATTGAACTTCTGGAGCAAATACCTTCTCATTCCAGAGCTCATATCGTCGATTCCCTTTCCAGAATCCTAAAGCAGTGCTGAAGGTGCTTGTAGTCAATTTGTCTTTGCGAAGGGTAAACCACTCCTCAGAACGTTGTGGAGCATCTGATTGGGTTAGGCAGGCCACTGAAACTACTGATGCTGGAGGATAACTGAGAGGAATGCTTGGAGAGATACATGGTGCTGCCAAAGTTGAGAAGTTCCTCAAGAAAACAATGCCATGATAGCTTCTGCCAGGAAATGGGACAGCTGCTATCTGAATGCTGCTGAATCTCGAAACGCATGCATTGCTCATAGCTAACGGCTAACAGTTCGTTTAGTTTCAATCCTGCAAATCAATAAATACAACCATGAAACACAAGTAGGACAACAGTTTGCTTGGCAGAGCAAGTTTAGAATGTATCCAATGATAGCGAAAATGGTAAAGTCAAGAGACAGAATTTCCTGAGAGGGCGGAGACAAGTTCATAGAATATTTTTGTGTAAACAAGACAGTAAACTTTAGACAATTTTTTGGGGAACTAATGAATAGTTTGATTACTACATGAGAGGGTACATATGTTATCTGTTTTAGGAAGGGAATGATTTGCAAATCTAGACACATCTTGCTTACTGAGTCAACGTTGAGAAATATGAACAACTTAATATCTCTAAGAGAACCCTTTCCAGTGCATCTTAAGTTATCATGTGGAATTCACAATAGCTGTAAAGTGTAATATATTGTACAATGATTTCAAGGCCTTGGAAATTTGACATTGCAGTTTCGCTGGTATTCACTGGATAAAGCTAGGTTGTATTGCAATTTTGTGTTTCTGGAAGACTTTAATTTCACTGGATTAAACGTTAATTTCCTCATTCCACTCTATTGTTTGGTTTGTGATATTTGGACAGAAGTAGTGAAAGCGGAAAAGAGTTTCAAGTTTTTTAAGCATTTACTGCATTAACCCCCCCTCCTTTTTTATGACAAGGGAAATCTGCAGCCGCTACCCTTACCGTGCGTACAGGGCAAAACCCCTGCACCTATGCAATAGCTCGCAAACCACACAGGAGAGGTAACCCACACTAGGCAAACCCCTTGCTTTCATTGGCAAAGGTTTTCGAACTTGAGACCTCCAATATGGAAGTCCCAAGCCCAAACCACTGGGCCACTCTGAAGTGTGCATTAACCCCTTTTCCTCTTCCTTTTTTCTTTCAATTAGGCCTTTCCAGTCTGAAATGAGTTAGTGTGTGCTTTTCATGATTTCATAAATTTGGGAAAGGTTATAGGGAATAAAAAAAATGTTAAGTTTTATCTGGAATTATGTCTTTCAATGTCTCATGGACACCCGACGCTAACGTGACACATAAATTTTGGAGGTGTCTAGATGATTATTTGGTAAGTTGAGAGTTTAACTGACATAGTGGAGACAAATTGAGGTGTCTAGATGTGCATACTCAAAGTTGAACTATTCACTTGCCATCTAAGGCCAAGTTTGAGTGTTTGTTTGTGTATTGTGCCTAGTTTTTATCATTTCGTGGGGATGAAAACCACAAATGTCTTCAACTTCATATAACCCACTTGAATGTAACAACTAATTTTCTATCTAATCCTAGAATTAGTGTTAAATAAAGTTACCTTGTTATTTAAAAATTTAAAGTTTTACAAATTCCTAAATATCACTCAAGGTGCTTCTGAAAGGACGACTCTACTCGAAAAGTCATGGGTGATATGCTAATCAGAATGTTCATTATTACTCAACTCCTAATCACCTCACTTGTCTTCTATTGGTTACTTGGCAAAAGAACTAAAGTTTGACATGTAACAAAATAAGAATAGTAACATTTAATCTTTCAGTGCATCCCAATCTAAAGGTAAAGAAGGAGAAAATATAGACATAACAGATACATTCAACGGAATACGAGCATACTCCTAGTAACTTCCCAAGCAACAAAGCAGTGCAACAAATTAAGATAAACTACAGAGTCATTCTCAAAAACCTATTATTATAGTACATTTTTTAAAAACGTCCAATGCAACTCTCAATAGCTAAAGGCTAGAACGAATCAATGATAAATGTCACGTCATTTAATTTCAGTTTCTTAATATGCTTTAGAGGGTTCGATTTCTACTAAAAACAGAAAAAACATTGCGAAATCATAACGATAATAGCGCATATGTCTGATCGCCAATATTGACTCATACAAGTGAACAAGGTACCTTATAGATGAGAATTGTGTAAAACAACTCTGGAGAGGGGAAAAGAAAACAATATACAATTATTCTGATGTCTCGGGCGTATAGTCAAACACCTTGGGAGAATCAGTGTGCACAACATGTTGTAACAAATCAGAACATGCATGTAGTTGGTACCTATTTCTTATGGGAGTCTGAAATGTTCCAAATGATTGCTTGGATCATTAGAGTGTACAGATCATAGAGGCCTACCATTTCATGCATAAACCTTTGGTTTTGAGGGAGTGTTGGATAAATGAATTTTCAGACTATATTGAACTGAAACGAATTGAATGGAAAACCAGCAATTGAGAATTTCAAGAACCTCTCTTATTTTTTGCCTTATCTGTGTAACTTGAAAGTAGCAATTTAGAATGCTTATCAGAGAAAAATAGAAAACATCACCACTACCTGTATCCTCTTCTAGTTCCCCAGCATCAAGAAAGGCTTTCAAATGGTAATGGATTCTATTTCCTTCTGTAAGCAATAGATTGAATTACAAAGCTGTACTGGTAACAATTTGTCTATGAGTGTCAAATTCTCCAGAATTGGAAGGACTATTGCGCTCAATATATTTCAGCTCGAGTCCTGCGTGAAGAAAATTCAAGATTACTACTTAAACAATAGGTGTATTACTCTATTTTTGTAAATACTCATGCATGAAACATTATCAGGGAGGACTTTCTGGTGCACTACGCTCCCGCTATGCGTGAGGTCCAGAGAAGGGACGGACCACAAGGGTCTATTGTACACGTCCTTACCCTGCATTTCTATAAGAAGTTGCTTCCACAACTCAAATCAGAGAGCAATCACAAAATTGAAATGAGCTTTTTGTGATAAATCTTTAACTAGTTTTCTATTCTTTTGTTTAATGCCTTTGTTGGTTTGAGAAATGGATCGAAAAGTGGAGAGTTTGCTTTATTCTACACAGGAATTCTAAAAAGTTTATATCTTTCAGAAATACTATAAGCTAATTTCACGTCCCATCCATTTCCTGAATATTCTCTCTTTGCACTTCACCCAGTGAGATCAAGTTAAGCACTGAAAAACAACTTATCCAATTATCACTCAATGCCGTTAGAACTGAAGACAAGTTGTTCCATCTCCGGTTTCTCTTTCTTTTATCTAAACCTATGATACACCGTGCTTTAGAAGCAAGGGAAGAGCTAGAGTGTAGTAGCTTTGGTCCGAATTCCGTATTCGTCTTCGGAACTCCTTATGTACAATTTATTAATTCGGAACCTAGTAACTTAAAAAGAAGCAAGAATCCAAACTCACGAGCTTCAAATACTAGCTCCGCTATAGAAGGAATTTCAACAACAACAACAACATACCTACTATAATCCCACAAAGTGAGGTTTGGGGAGGGTAGAGTGTCCACAAAGCTGAATATGCATTCATATAGTCTCAAAGATTCAAACACATAGAAAAATAAAAATACAAATTCAACTTCCAAACACCATTTTCCAACTTCAAACTTCAAATACTACTCACAAAATTTGAACTTTTATTCAAGTGAAAACACTATGTCAACTTCCAAATACCATTTTCCAACTTCAAACTCCAAATACTCCTCACAAACTTTGAACTTTTCTTCAAGTGAAAACACAATTTCAACTTCCTAACACCACTTTCAACTTCAAACATCCAATACAACTCACAAAAATTGAACTTTTTTTTCAAACAAATTCAACTTCCAAACTTCAAATACTACTCACAAAATTTGAACTTTTTTTCAACATTCAACTTCAAATACTATTTCTTCTCTTTTTCTTCTCAAATAACATTCCATTCATGTCCAAATGCCTACTAAAATGCATAGAAAAATGAAACACAAACAAACATAAGTAGAGAAACTCAAGATAACTTTTAGAGAAAAAATAAAAATAAATACAGCAGAGAGGAAAAAAAAGGCGAAAAATCCCCAAAAACAAGAATGCTTACCTGTGAATAAATGGAAGATCTTGAGCATAAGCGAACCAAGGGTTTTGGGGAAACAAAGAAGAAGGTGCAAAAATGTAAATTATCCCAATAAAATCTCCACCCCTCACTTTTTAATTTATCTCCAAACTTTTAAACTTTTCCCACCTCTTTCTTAGGAAGTGTTTTACTATCGATTTTTTTTTTTTTTTTTGGTAAATTCAAATTTAATTAGATTTTAATATAGATATGAACGACCAATGGAAAAAAAGAACTTTTAAACTTTTGGATTTATGAGGTAAATTGTTTTTTATTTTTTTTAAAAAGAAGGAAAATATATAACTAGGCAAGCCACAAGTCCTATATTTTACTTATTAAAATCTATTTTAAAATAATTATCCAACAAAGCTATCGTATTGTTTTAATATCAGATTTCCATAGTTATATGATTATATCCGATTTTCTATTTTATGCATAACTAAAATTGTATTTGTTTTTTTTTTTTCACTTTAGGATACACGATATAGTATGACATCTTTGGATATGCGGTGTATCAATACCTTTTCGTCAATTTAGACCAACAATTTTTTATAAAATTATGTATACTTAGAATTTTGTAATATTATGTAATGATAATTATTTATTCATATAAAAAAATAAATATATGTGATTATTTTCACACATGATTTATAAATTATCTTTTTTTTTTTCATTTGATAAAATTGTATAAGAGTTTAAAAGTCTTAATAACAACAACACCTTCGATAAGATCACATAACTAGAGTTTATGGATGGTAGAGTGTACATAAATCTTACCATTACCTTGTAATAAAGAGGTTGCTTCTAATCGCTTGAAAAGTTTGTTTTAAAAATTGTGGAATTTTAATACTTCTTCTATCCCTATTTACTTGTTCATTTTTTACTTGAGACACGTATTAAGAAAATAATAATTGACATAGTAAATTTATTATTTTACCCTTATTAATTGATAGAATTTCAAGATCAATGTACTTACCTTTTTCAAAGACATTCACTCTCTAAATAAATTGAGAATATAATAGGTAAAAAATATTATCTTTTCTTGATTTGTCAAAAAAATGACAAATAAAGAAGAACAAAGAGAATACCAAATTAAATTTTGATTTAGACTAACCAAATTTACGATCATAATTTAAAGGAAAAAAAGACAAATATACCCCCGAACTATTGTAAATGATATGCAGATACCCTCCGTCATATTTTTGGGACATTGATACCTCTATCGTCCAAAAACTAAAGCGTATATACCCTTTATATTAACGGACATACACGCGTCATAATCTTATTCACTAATCTTACATTTATTAAAGATTGGATCGACGGATAAGATTGTGCCACGTGTTCCTATTTAGTCTTCCGTTAGTGAATGACATATATGCTCTAGATTTTGAACAACAAAGACACAAATATCCCAAAAATATGATAAAAAGTATCTGTATATCATTTACGATAGTTCAAGATATATTTGTCATTTTTCCTTAATTTGAAATCATGTCCAAACGCACCGGATTACGCCAATGCACATCTTCTAAAACTTGTATGGTAGTCCACGTTAGTATAAGCTGTCAGCATCATACCTTCAATTTTGTTTTTTCCCAATCAAAGAAGTTGCACGAGATCCAACGGCCCACACTATGGGAATTTCATATAACTAAATTTGTAGTAATTTATTTGCAAATGGACAATTGATTCAGCTTCCTTTCTTCCCTCAATTCCGTTTGACCTTTTCCCCGGATAACAATTTTGTAAAAACGTAAAGGAGAAAAGGTTATATATGGTTTCTTGATCCAAAACTATCATCAAATTGTTGAATCATTAGTTTATATTTGAAGGTAAATCTTAACACCCTTTTGTTTTTCTTCACTTCCCTAAGAACCCCTTTTGATTTGAATCTAAATTACTCAGTTTTTGTGACGAATCATTGATGGGTTTTGGTCATTTTCTTGTTTATGTTGGTTTTGGTTAACCCCCAGTAAGAGTATTGGCGAAAAGATGGAACTTTTAGCTTTTGTCTTGATGAGTTTTTGCTAATTTGGTAGTATTAATTGTAATGGTGCTAAAAGTTGATGCTTAGTAGAGCCAATGGTGTTAATGATTTGGTATAGCTGAATTGGTCAGTTTTCATGATGGATTTTGGTCATTTTCTTGTTTCTGTTGGTTTTTTGGTTAACCCTCAGTAAGAGTATTGGCGAAAAGATTTAAGCTTTTTGGAATGTTTAGCTTTTGTCTTGATTGGGTTTTGCTAATTTGGCTGTATTAATTGTAATGGTGCTACAAGTTGATGCTTAGTAGAGCCAATGGTGTTAATGATTTGGAATAGCTGAATAGCTCAGTTTTCGTGATAGATTTTTTTGTTTCTGTTTTGTTTTTGATAAGCCCCAGTAAGAGTATTGGCGAAAAGATTTAAGCTTTTTGGAATGTTTAGCTTTTGTCTTGATTGGGATTTTCTAATTTGGCTGTATTAATTGTAATGGAGCTAAAAGTTGTGCTTAGCAGAGTCAATGGTGTTAATGATTTGGTATAGCTGAATTGCTCAGTTTTCATGATGAATCATTGATGAGTTTTTCGTCCTTTTCCTGTTTCTATTGGTTTGTGATAAACCTTAGGAAGAGTATGCTTTTGTCTTAATTGGGTTTGCTAATGTGACAGTTTTAATTGTAATGATGCTAAAAGATAATTTTCAGTAGAGCCAGTGGTGTTAATGATTTGATATAGTTTGGAGGTAGATTGATTTGGGGAATTAGTGGAATTAGTTTGGAAGTAGATTGATTTGGGGTATAGTAGAGCCGTTTTCGTCCTTTTACTCAGTTCAACTGTAACTTCTTCGGTACTTGCAGAAAGAGTTTATAGTACATTTGAAACATCTAATAGAGTGTTATTTCTTTTTGTTTCTTTATGATATTAAGGTGAACTAAGACAATATTAATTCATATTCCATATGCTTATCAGAATATAAGGAACACCATCTTTGAACCCAGTTTTATTTCTATTTTCTTTGGTTTGTTTTTGGGTGTTCACTGCGGACATGATCCCATCATGCTCATTCGAGTTGCTGGAGATGATTAAGTTGGAACTGACACAGCTTTGTTCAGTGCAGTTGGAAAATAATCATCTGTTTTGATGAAGTAAAGGATTTCATTAAAGAGCATCACTGATGCTCTTAATGAAATCCTTTACTTCATCAAAAAAGATGATTTAGTTTCAACTGCACTGAACAGAGCTATGTCAGTAGGAAAAACTATGAATATGATTTATGTGGACACATAATCACTCTTGAGTGTTATATAGGTGTGTGTGTAAAATGGCATGAATGAAAATGATTTCTGTGGACAGAAAGTCCTGTATTTGTAAAACTAGTTCTTGTCTCAGTTCCATTCCACTTTAATTTGAACCAAATAGCAAAAGCAGCTAAAGACTTAAGTAGGGCATATGGTATATTTTAACCTCAGAAGAAAATTCACCAGGTAGTAATTAGTAAAACAGGAAATTCTAATAATCCCAAACAGAAGTTCTGTAGGTTGCTCTTTATTTTATTTATTTCTGCCATAGGGTATGGCAAGGTCTGTGTACGCTCTTCCCTCCCCAGATCCCACTTTGTGGGAGTACATTGGGTATGCTGTTGTATTTCTTTTGAGAGTCTTCACTGAGCTTTGAGAGCTTAGCATCTGATTTGACAGCTTGCCATCTTCATAAAACATAACATCAATTGATCAAGTATTTGTTTTGGCTTACTGCCTGAACAACTACCTCCTAAACTTTCACTAGTCTTCGGGTCCGATTCATACCTGCTGCATTCATTCTCTTTATGATGTTCACATTTCTAGAATGTTGCCTTTCTCAAAAAGAATAAATAAATGATGCTCACACTTTCTGTGTAGAACCCCTAAATTGTCTTAAGAAATAAATCACTGGGCATTGGAATGGAACTGGTCAGAATGGAGTAGAATGCATATTAAGTTTCATAGAACCTACTCCACTGGTTGAGATTAAGGCGTGGTTGTTGCTCTTCAATTCAGTACCAAATGTAGAAGCTTGTCTTAGTGCAATTTAATAAGGATTGAAGAAAATAAAAACCTGGTAGGAAGTTTTCTAGCTGTATTTGAGCAGTGAAACTTTCGAACACCCGTGATACTTATCCTATGAAAACTAGGATATACAGGAAAAAAGTCAATGTCAATCACAGTGGACATGAACTCTGCAAAATGATTTGCCTTCCCTGGAAAGGCATTTGAGGTCCTGATGACATATTTCTTTAAAGTCAAGAGTTCATATGCTTAACTTCCTTTCCTGGCAAGGGGTGTTGTCTTAACAATTATTTGGTTTGGTTCGCTTTGTTCTTGTACATTCGGTGCACACACTCAGTACATTCCTGCAAAATGATCATTACTACATTTACTTATTCAGAGTATACACATCAAATTTTTATTCGAATTTTTTCACTTATGACTATGAGTATTTATCTCTATTTACTTTATGTTAGGCATGTGCTGCAAATGAGACGTTCTCAGCAATATTGGGGTTATTCAGAGAATTAGTTTAAAGCTCTAACAGCAAGCCTGGTTGACATCATTTTGGTGAAAGGTCAGATCTTTTTTCCCTTTTATACTAAGTTTGGAAGCTTTAGCATATGCTTGACATCCTAGTTTGTAAGTCTTCCAAAATGTGCTTGTTCTGCTCTTCATGAGCTTCATGCGGAGAAAACCTATTCACATGCATGTGTATTTGCATGCAATGTTTTTTGCGTGTCTAAATTAGGTATTGAATACGTTGTACAACAGTTCCTAAGGTGTATAACGTATTTGCTTTTCTAGATAACGAAGAATAATGGCTTACCTGTTATGCCATGTCCCAGTTGGACTTATATTTCTACGCTCCTTCTGTTTCACCAGTCATTGTTGATGTGGGTTTTTGTCCTTTCAAATCAGGACTAGACATGGCATCCTAAGTTCCGTCTGTCAATGTTTATTTTTTCTGGTTTCAGATTTTTATACTTTTAGTAAGACTTCTGCTTTTTATAGCTAATAAATATCTGACTTCTAATATTCACTTTAGATTACGTGAACTCAAGCTTAAGAGTACTTTTTATAACTTATACTTTTTGCCTGAGTTATGTGCGAGTTTTGAGCAACCATCATGAAGTTTTATTTTTCTGTTGTTCTCTTCCTCCTATGGGATTACACTGGGTGAATTGTCTCTTCCACCTGTATGCTATGTTTAAATTACTTTTATTTGCAGCAACTAGCCTTATTTTACACTCAAAAGCCATGTTGTCCAACATTTGGTTCCTTGTCTCTACTTTTTGACATCTATGGCAAGAGCTTGTGCCCCGTTATGTTTGTCTCTCTTCTTTCCATGTGTTCATTACTTTTGGCTGCAGTGTAATATCTCTGAAGCACTTTGGTATTGATGCTGATCGTATGTTGCATGTTTATAAAAGTCTCAGATGTTATTTGTGAAGACGTTTGCAGCTTAGGTTTTCCTTGCATTCGTCACAACTTGTCTTTTACACCTCGGAATTAACAAGAAAAAATATTTGAAAATGAACTCCTTATGGAAAGCAGTTCCAAGTTAAACTTCAAATGACCTACTCCCTTGTCCCAAACTGAATATCTTCCTTTTATCAGTAAAATCATCCTAAAACGATGTGCATCTTCTGAAAAAGAATTTTTCACCATTATCTTAAACCGGAAGACTGTTTGAGACTGAGGCGTGTTTGTTGTTGATTTTAAACCAAAGAAATAATTATATGGAACCCACCTTTATTATTCCAAAACAACCGTTCTCTTTTGTGTTCCTATCTATTATAACAAAATAGCCACCAACATACAATACTTGATTTCGAGTTGGGTCGTTACGAATTGTATATCAAATCGGACTGCGACATTTAATTTGGTCATAAAGTTTATTAGGTATCCTTTTTATAATGTGGATAATAATCAGAAGTGAAGTTTATTTTTCATTTTCTTATATTTTTCCCTAAGATGCTATTTTGACTTCTCAGGTTAGAATGGCATCGTCTGCTGACTCATGGATGCGTGAATTTAATGAAGCATCCAAACTTGCGGATGAAGTCAGTTCTATGATTTCTGCGAAGAGCTCTTTGCCCTCTTCCGGACCTGAATCACAGCGCCATTTATCTGCAGCTCGGCGAAAGATCACTATATTAAAGACAAGGCTTGATACTCTCCAGTCCCTTCTGCAAACGCTCCCAAGCAAGCAGCCTTTGTAAGATAACTGCATAAAGACTTCTATATGGGTTTTAATGATAGTATATAAGATTGTCTTTCAATTTAATATGATGTCTTTCTTAAGTACTCACGATTAAACCGAAGATGGCAAATTAAGGTTTTCATGCTGCTTCAAATATTTACTTCAACATTTGTGATCCAAGGCAACATTTGGTGTTAGTTATTCAGTTGGCAAGAATGCTTTTGAATGTGTAAAAGGTGGATGTAATCAATGTCTTGAAGCTTGTTACCACATAATGCAAGTTCTTTTCTGTGTATTGTCTAACAACTGTTGCAAGCTGTGATAGATTGAAATGATTCTTTACTCGTAAACAGATCAAAAAAGGAGATGAAACGTCGTCATGACATGCTTGATAATATGATTGTGAAAGCTAATCAGTTGGCAACTACACTCAACATGAATAACCTTGCAAATAGGGATAGCTTGCTCGGCCCAGAAACTAAGCGACCTGATGTTATCAGTAGGGCAACTGGTCTTGACAACCAGGATCTTGTAGGTTTTCAACGTCAAGTTATAAAAGGTATGTCCTCATACACTAGGAATCAACATGCTCTTTTCTTGTTTCTTTTGAAAAACTTAGTTGACGTGGTTGTCTTTGATTTATATTTGAAACAGAGCAGGACGAGGATCTTGATAAATTGGAGGAGACAGTGATAAGCACAAAACATGTCGCGTTAGCAATCAATGAGGAGCTCAACTTACATACTGCACTACTGGTGGGTGTTGTAACTGCTAAAAGTTTCAGTATTTGACCTTGAATACATCTTTATCACTTTAATTTTTATCGACCCGCCCAATGCTACCATGTTTAGCAGTATAACGTTTATCTGATATGCAGGATAACTTAGATTACCATGTTGATACAACAAACTCCCGTCTTCAGGTATTGCTTGTTTTCAATATGCTTCAAATCGACTTTCCTTTGGCTGCGTTGTGTCTTAAGAAGTGAACTCTCTGATTTTGTCGCGCCCAAGCTAATGTGATTTTCATTGTCCTTATTAACAGAGGGTGCAAAGGAAATTGGCATTTTTGAATAAGCGCACAAAAGGTGGCTGTACTTGGTTGTGCCTATTGGTCATATTCATCGTTATTCTAGCCGTTGTCATCTTCCTATTGGTAAAGTTCTTGTGATCTGATTCTTCTATTGTCCTCTTGCAACTTCTTCAATCAGCTTCGAAAGTTCTAGCTATACAAGGACTACAGATTTGTCCTGCATTCGTTATGAAAGTATGTGTTGTGTATATCTTGTGTTTTTCGCGTAACATTAAAGAGCTTTTAATTTCAGAAGAAAGAAAACTTTGCAATGGATACCTGTGGTCATTGTAAGAGACAAGTCTTGTGAACACTTCAAGTTTAGAGTGCAATGCATTTTCAGGCTTATATTGTCTATTATTATTGCAATTAGCAATTTTACTACAAAACTATTTCACTTGGCAATAATGCTTTTTGAATGTGTAAGAATCCCAATCCACATGAATTGTACGAACTTCTATGGAGTGTAGCAAGGAACCTTGGCTTCAACTCTCGTCACCTCATTTAATCCTATAGTAAGAAAATCCACAAGAAGTACGAACGTCTATGGAGCGTAATAAGGAACATTAGCTTTAACTCTTGTCACTTTATTCAATCCTATAGCAAGAAACTTAGAGTCGAGGTGTCGCGAACGAGCAAAGAAACATTTCTTGTAATCAAAACCAAAACCCCACTTATCACAAGGAGGGATGAATTCACTTCATTGGTATTTGATTTGTAGTCCATTTTGGGACCTATAGTCAATAGGAACATTGAATTTGGGTCTACAATAAGCAAACATGACTACACGAGTACAATTAGATCTCGCTATACTAGTCATTCTCTATAACAACTTTCTACTGTTATGGCTAAGTATTTTCGGAATGACGTTTCATAATTAAAAGATTCAAAAGACGATTTACTAACACATGAAATAAATAGCGGGACTCAGTGTTTTAAAAGGCGGGGGCGTGAGGCGAGATGTTTTAGGTAGTACAGGGCGAGACGTAAACCCCGAGACACAGGGCGTAAGTCTTATGGATCTACAGGGCCTCATCTCATGTATATTCAATTTTAAAATTTTATTTCTAAAAAAAAGTAAAAGTAAAACTTTCAATTATTTTACAAATAAATTTTATTAAATAACCTATAATAAATATATAAAAAATTATGATTTTTATTTGAGAAAGGTATTAATCATCAATAATGAAGAAAAAAAGTATTACAATTACTATTTGAGAAATATCATTGCGCCAATAATAAAAATATGATTTAAAGCAAAAAAAAAAAACCGCCCAGAGCATACATTTTTACGCCCAGGACTTACGTTTTTACCCTTGGAGCTTACGCCCCAAATTCTAGGACGTACGCCCTATGGATCTACGCCTTACATTTGCACCCGTGCGTTTTTGGTGCGCCCCTCCCCGAGACTTAGCCCATAAAACGTTTTTGAAAACACTGGCGAGACCATTCTTCCTTCGGGGAGACAAACTCATTCCTTCTGCTTATTGAATCTCAGTTCGGGTTTAGACTTATCAAACCAAAATGAAGATAGAGACTTAAATTGCGAATCAAAAGTTAGAAAAGATTAATACATACCGTAAAAATTTATATAGAATTATACCTATAACTATAAATTTTGAACAAGCACCTACATAATTAGTTCAATTGAGTTATTTTTTAAAATTTAAAATCAAAATTAATAATTAAATTCAAGTAAAAAAAATATTTATCATTTTCTTTTTCAACCTCCCCCTATTGGTTTTGGGCCGGATAGTCCATATCCTGAACCGACCCTCGAAACTTTTCATATTCAATAAATAAATAATCGCATTTAGCTTTTCCCCAAATTCCCTAAAACCTCACTTCACATCGCCGGCGACGAACACTTCAGGTATTCTTCTTTTCCGTTCTGTTAATTGAAATTGAAATCCCTAGATTTGGTTATATTGCTATTAGATTTGATATTGATTTGATACTTTGTTCAATTTTCCAGCTTGTTTGGTGGTATATATCTTCACTTAGGGTTAGGTTAGGGATTTTGAAGTTTCGAGTGTTGCGAGGGATAGTTGATTGAAGCATATTGTAAAAATGGATGATGAGATTCAGAAAACGCAAGAGGAGAGGAAGAAGATGGAGCAGCAGCTCGCTTCTATGAATACGGTGACTTTTGATACTGAATTCTATAGTTCGAATAAATTTGAGGGTTATGAGAAATCTATTCCGGTGAATGATGATGATGATACTTTTGATACGGAGAATGAGGTTGCTAGAAAGATGGCATCTTTCACTGCGCCGAAACAGTTTTTTAAGGAGGTTCCACGGGGTGCAGGGGAAGAGGATGAGCCGAGTGGGTTTAATAAACCGAGTAAGATTATTGATAGGGAGGATGATTATAGGAGGAGGAGGTTGAATAGGGTCATTTCTCCTGAGAGGAATGATCCTTTTTTGGATAAGACTCCAGGGCCGGAAGTGAGGACGTATGCAGATGTTATGAGGGAGGAGGCTTTGAAGAGGCAGAAGGAAGAGTTGATGAAGGAGATTGCGAAGAAGAAGAAGGAAGAACAGGAAAAAGCAGCGGATAAAAAGGAGGAGGTTGAGAAGCCAGCTCAGAAGAGGAGGAATAGGTGGGACCAATCGCAGGATGAGGGTGGTGCGAAGAAGGCGAAAGCTGGTTCAGATTGGGACCAGCCGGACTCAACACCTGGGATTGGAAGGTGGGATGCAACACCCACACCTGGCAGGGTCGGTGATGCAACACCCTCTGTCAAGAAGAATAGATGGGATGAGACACCTACACCTGGTAGGGTTGCTGATTCAGATGCTACCCCTGCTGGTGGTGCTACTCCTGGTGCAACTCCAGCTGGTATGTCTTGGGATGCTACACCAAAGCTTGCAGGTCTTGCTACCCCCACGCCTAAAAGACAGAGGTCAAGGTGGGACGAGACTCCAGCTACTATGGGAAGTGCAACTCCCATGTCAGGTGCTACCCCGGCAGCAGCTTATACACCGGGTGTTACTCCTGTTGGGGGTGTTGAACTAGCTACACCAACCCCTGGTGCCATTAATTTGCGTGGCCCGGTTACTCCTGAACAATACAATTTGATGAGGTGGGAGAAGGACATTGAAGAGAGAAATCGACCCTTAACTGATGAGGAGCTTGACTCAATGTTTCCTCAGGAAGGTTATAAGATTTTGGATCCTCCAGCATCCTATGTTCCCATTAGAACACCCGCCAGGAAGCTTCTTGCCACACCAACTCCTATAGGGACTCCTCTGTACTCTATTCCAGAGGAAAATCGGGGTCAACAGTTTGATGTACCAAAAGAAATGCCAGGTGGTTTGCCATTTATGAAGCCCGAGGATTACCAGTATTTTGGTTCCTTGTTGAATGAGGAAGATGAAGAGGAGTTGTCTCCCAATGAACAGAAGGAGCGAAAAATTATGAAGCTTTTGCTCAAGGTTAAAAATGGCACTCCCCCTCAGAGGAAAACTGCTTTGAGACAGCTCACTGATAAGGCCAGAGAATTTGGTGCCGGGCCCTTATTCAATCGGATTCTGCCATTGCTCATGCAACCTACACTGGAAGACCAAGAAAGGCATTTGCTGGTTAAGGTTATTGATAGGGTACTCTATAAGTTGGATGAATTGGTTCGCCCATATGTGCACAAGATTCTTGTCGTGATTGAACCTCTGTTGATTGATGAAGATTATTATGCTCGTGTCGAAGGGAGGGAAATCATATCTAATCTTAGTAAGGCAGCTGGTTTGGCGACTATGATTGCTGCCATGCGTCCAGATATTGACAACATTGATGAATATGTCAGGAACACAACTGCTCGAGCTTTCAGCGTTGTTGCATCTGCACTTGGTATTCCTGCTCTGCTGCCATTCTTGAAAGCCGTTTGTCAGAGTAAAAAATCTTGGCAGGCTCGTCATACAGGTATTAAGATTGTTCAGCAGATTGCTATTCTTATTGGTTGTGCTGTTCTTCCACATTTGAGGTCTTTGGTGGAAATTATTGAACATGGTCTTAATGATGAGAACCAGAAAGTCAGGACCATTACAGCTCTTTCTCTGGCTGCTCTTGCTGAAGCTGCTGCACCATATGGTATTGAGAGTTTTGATTCTGTTTTGAAGCCCTTGTGGAAGGGTATTAGATCACATCGTGGCAAGGTTTTGGCTGCCTTTTTAAAGGCTATAGGTTTCATCATTCCTCTTATGGATGCTGTATACGCCAGCTACTATACCAAAGAAGTTATGGTTGTCCTTATTCGTGAGTTTCAATCACCTGACGAGGAGATGAAGAAAATTGTGCTGAAAGTGGTGAAGCAGTGTGTCAGTACAGAAGGTGTGGAGCCAGATTACATTCGACAAGACATTCTTCCAGAGTTCTTCAGAAACTTTTGGGTTAGAAGAATGGCTTTGGACCGCAGAAACTACAAGCAACTTGTTGAAACCACTGTGGAGATAGCAAACAAAGTTGGTGTTGCTGATATAGTTGGGAGAATTGTTGAAGACTTAAAAGATGAGAGTGAACCATACAGGAGAATGGTCATGGAAACTATTGAGAAGGTGGTTGCAAATCTTGGTGCATCTGATATTGATTCTCGACTAGAAGAGCTGTTAATTGATGGTATCCTTTATGCCTTCCAAGAGCAAACCAGTGACGATGCCAATGTGATGCTTAACGGATTTGGTGCTGTTGTAAATGCCCTTGGCCAAAGAGTTAAGCCATACCTTCCTCAGATTTGTGGTACTATAAAATGGCGACTGAACAACAAGAGTGCCAAGGTGAGACAGCAAGCTGCAGATCTGATATCCAGAATTGCAGTAGTTATGAAGCAGTGTGGGGAAGAACAACTAATGGGCCATCTTGGTGTTGTCTTGTACGAGTACTTGGGAGAAGAATACCCAGAGGTTTTAGGATCTATACTGGGGGCTCTCAAGGCTATTGTGAATGTTATTGGTATGACTAAAATGACTCCCCCAATTAAGGATTTGCTTCCTCGGCTGACCCCTATTTTGAAGAATCGTCACGAGAAAGTCCAGGAGAATTGTATTGACCTTGTTGGTCGAATTGCAGACCGTGGTGCTGAATTTGTTCCTGCAAGGGAGTGGATGAGAATTTGTTTTGAGCTTC